ATCTCTAGACCCAGCAGTCTTAGCTAATTATAGGCCAATCTCCAACCTTCCTTTCATATCAAACATCCTTGAAAGAGTAGTTGTCAAACAGCTAACAGATCACCTGCAGAGGAATGGTTTATTTGAAGAGTTTCAGTCAGGTTTCAGAGCTCATCACATGTGGTATGATATAAAATTGGTGGAGAAAAATGACAGTGTCATTTGTACAACAAACAGTACAAGGTCCAGCATCACTTATCTGAGACATGAGCGATTGCATGAATATGATACGAGGTAGAGCCTGGTGATAAAACAATAAAAATTAATATTGTGCAAAAACGTTCCTCGACTGCGATATAAAATATGTTCAATATAAAGTCAGTAAGCTCATTGCATCCATGTTTTGACGGACAACATGAAAGGCAACAACAATTATACTGAACCAATCATGTGGTTGGAAGGAGCATAGGAGGAGGAGCTGACAGCAGCACATGCTCTTACTATAAACTATACGTAGGAGTGCGAACGAAAGATAAAACGACGACAAAAATTGTTAACGAAAACTCGACAAACAGCATTAACAAACGAAATAGCCCCGTGGACACAGCGTGTTTAATATTTATACGGCTTTGTAATGTGTGAGTTTGTCTCTGGTGTAAAGCGCGTCTACAACTTCGCTCGATCAGTCACAACATGAGAGTCTTGTGCGAGAGCAGAAAGGCTCATTATGGATTCATCACCTGGAATGTGTTCCCGTGTGGTGAAGTCTCTGACATAGAAAACACATTTTGCTGTTACAGATCGGCCTCCTGAATACCTCGTGTGGACCCATAAATGAATCAGAGTATGAGAGCAACATGGAAGAGCTGGACCAACCAACTGACTTCAAAGACTTTCCTGTCCGGATCGACTGGAACGCCGAGCTTCCGGCCAACATTGTGGTTCCCAGAGTTGAGATTCACAGCCTGGTCCTGGACTTTGCCGCCGTCTCCTTCTTAGACATCTCTGGACTGAAGGGACTCAGAGCAGTGCGTTTGTATTCATGCAGCAGCAGCAGATGTTTCACTCTGGCTCTGTTTAATTCATTTCTCTTTGCAGCTGCTGAAAGAGCTGATCCGAGTTGAGGTTGAGGTCTACATCGTGGCCTGTGACTGTAAGTACTAACGTATTGTCTGTATTAGTTTAGTAATCATGTTAGCCTACCATACTAACCTAAACACCTGTCACATACTCAGCTGTATGTTTGTCGACCATATTTGGACCTTCTGTTGCAGCTTACATCCTGGAGAAACTCCATGATTGTAGCTTCTTTGATGATGAAGTTCAGTCTTCAATGTTCTACCTGACACTGCATGACGCCATGCTGCACATCCTGGAGAAACATCCGGAGCCTCCTCCAAAAAAGTCTGATTATGAGAAGGTAAAGAAGAGCAATAAACACAATATTCAGGGAGTATTTGACATCTTACTGTTGGAAATATGTACAGAATAGTATTACACACATGTAGGGTTTTACAATATAAAGCACCTCGAGGCGACTGTGCTGTGACCATAAATACAATTTAAAAAAGAAACTAAATTGAATCTGACGTTCTTTACGTTGTTTTACAGATAATGACAGGAGTCACTATTCATCATCTGCCCAGCAATTTGAGGAGCAGAGACAGAAATGT